ACATAAATACACACACACACAAATCATTGTTAATTATTTACATGACTGTAACTATTATTACTTCATTTTATGTGTAATATTCTAAGTTTAACTAAATTTAAATGAATTTTTATTATGCATTCCATTACATCATCCTGTATCGATCCAGTGGTAATACAACCTTATATCTCTTGCCATTTGTAGTATTTGTGTTCTAATTGTTTTATTGGTAGAACTTATATGGCCCCTTGTTTTTCACTGCATCTCTTTGTAAAGCCTGGGAACCCCTCGCCTGTTTCCTTCCATCAACTTCCCTTTGGTTTATCCCCAAACACTTCTGCAAAAATTTCTATCATTACTTCTACTAAATGTTCTTCCTTTTCTCCTTCTATATTCTGGAATTCCAGAGGATCTCAATTAATTTTGTTTGGCATCAGGGAATCCAAACTGGGCTGGGACTGCTTGTTCCTTGTGTGTTCCTTCGAAATCACTTTTTCGAAATTGCATGTCAATTTTTTACTTAAGTGACTTACACGGAGCGGTTAATTTCGCTTGAGGCGGAAATAAATCTTTGGTGTGGTCTGAAGTGGTGACTCAGAAATTTATAGCTGAGGTTTTTTTGTTAAACGCACAGCAATTTGCGATTGACGCCAATAACAAACGCTCATCTCTTCTGTAGTGACCTCAACATCCGGCGATTCCATACAAATTTATCTCCCCCTCCCCCCCCCGTTTTTTTTTAAACCGCGTTTTGCAAACTGGGCAAGAAGGCGTTTCTCTCCACCTCGAGAGGCGTCGGATGAAAAAGTTGAGTTCTCTTCTCCAAATTCAGCGAGGGAAAATGACAAAGGAGGAGAAAAGACGACCTGAGGGAGCATCGCAAGGCCCAGTGGTGGGTTTCAAAAAAATTTCGAACCTACTCTGTGGGTGTGGCCTCCTTTGTGGGAGTGGCTTGCCGGCCATGTGTTTTCTTTCTTTCTCTTTCTCTTTCTGTGTGTGTGTGTGTGTGTGTGTGTGTGCGTGTCAGTGGTGGGTCTCAAAAAATGTTGGAAACTCTTCTGTAGACGTGGCCTGCTTTCCGGGTCCACTGGTGGCACCTCTTCTCACCAGTTCGGTAGATTTGACGAACCGGTTCTACCGAACTGGTGGGAACTAGTAGGAACCCACCTCTGTGCCTATTCCCAGATGCTTGGGAAGGACTGGCTAGGGGGACACGAATGCCCACTCCAGTCTAAACATCTGCGCAATGAACTATAATAACAATTGAACATCGCCGGCATTGACAAAATCCCCCCACATCTGTCAATTGCGAAAGGCTGCTCGGGTCATCCTGTGGGGGGAGTCGTAACACCTTCAGAACACCTTCACATCTGGCTGTCCAAGGTCCTTGGAAAGGACTCGAGGGGGGGGAATAAAAATGCCAAATCCAGTTTGAACATCTGGCTGAGTGCAGAACGAAGCAATATTATTAATTAATAATAATTAATTCTCCCTTGGGCAGGGCAAGTAATCTGAAACTAGAACAAAGGCAGGTTTTAATAAATATAATCAGCTAAACATCAGCGTCACGCTGTCCGTTAATTGAAGACGGGAGAATGAAAAACAAAACAAAACAGATAAACTATTATCCCAGCTGCTTAATTTGAAATGCTAACCACGAATGAGCTACGAATCTGGAACGAGATGGGACTCAGCTGATCTCATTCAGGTTCAAGGTGAAAAGTCATAATTGTGGCTTGGTTGTGGGGAAAACAAGCCCCTGTGGCCTGTAAGCCAGGATTCGTGGCTTAATGAAGTGCACTTCCAAAGGATTGGGCAAACACACAGAGCGGAAGCCAACTGTCTTGGCCAAGGAATTCCCAGCCAGATCAATTGGAAGGAACACCTTGATTTCGGTTAATTTGAACCATCTATTGATAGACACTTCAAGAATCATGGTTTGTTCATCCCAGCAAGCATCAAAATCTCTTGCTTCTTCAATCATTGTCAAGGTTTCTGTCCTAGAAGGACATAATCCACTGGGGCTGAACCACCATCTTGGCTCCCAAGAAGGTTAGTAAACTATTCCCCCAGTGGCTCAGCTATTTTTACTTCTGGTACCCAGTACGATACTCCCTTCTTCACTGACGGCGCCAGAGATACGTCTGGATGGAGTTGGCAGGGATTTGGGCTGAAATAACACCAACCGAATCGTAAATTCCGAAGGTGAGGTTGAACGAAGACCTGTGTCGAGAAAAGAGATGGGAAAAGAAGGGAGGGAGAAGAGATGGAAAAGGAGAGGAGGAGGAAAAGAAGGGAGGAATAAGAAGGGGAGAAGCAGAAACACAATCACAAAACGGTGCACACCATAGTAACTTATTTTCTTTTAAGGTAAAGGCTCCCTTCGCGCAGAGGTGCTAGTCGTTCCTGACTCTAGGGGGCGGTGCTCATCTCCATTTCAAAGCCGAAGAGCCAGCGCTGTCCGAAGACGTCTCCGGGGTCACGTGGCCGGCATGACTCCACTCCCGAAGCCGCACAGAACGCTGTTCCCTTCCCACCAAAGGTGGTTCCTATTTTTCTACTCGCATTTCTTTAACGTGCTTTCGAATGGCAGCTGAGACAAGTCACGGGAGCTCACTCCGTTACGCGGCGCTGGGGATTCGAACCGCCGAACTGCCGATCTTTACGATCGACAAGCTCAGCGTCTTAGCCCCTGAGCCACCGCTTCCCTCATTGTCTTTTACTCCCACATATTTATCACAATTTGTTTTGTTGTTGCTAACTCCTGCAAAGTTTATAAAGAAGAATTTCTCACCCGAATGCCCGGGTGGCTAGAGACTTTTGACACCCGGTTCAGTGTGAGAGACTAAAAATTCAGGCAAAACGAAATGGGGGCTCTATAAAACTGCCTTTATTACATTTTATATGCCCCCTCCCCGATAAAGAGCCTCATTTTGAGTCCGGAGGTCAACACACGCAAATCGGAAAAATGGGACACATTTTTGTTCACGCCATATGCTAACTTAGTGATGTGAACCTTGGAGGTGTTTGCAAAAGACAAAAAAAAAAAAAAAAGATGGCTTCATGAGAACTAGTAACTTGGCTCTTTGAAAGCACAGCTGTTTGGAATACTGGCACTTACCGATTAAGGACCACCACCACAGCCGATCCGTCGGGACGAATCACCGCAACATGTTCCAGGTTGCAACGAAAGCCACGTTTAACCATCGTCAGCCCAATGCGCTGGGATCCTTCAACAATGAACTTGCTAAGTGGGGGGAAAAAAGGAGGGGATGAAGAGATCCCACCAGGGGTGGGGAGGAGATCCACCCTGATTTAGAAATCCTGAGCACAAAATGGGGACATGTGGTTCCTTGAAAAATTGTGCCTTAACACTCCCCTTCACTTTTCCCACAAAGTGACAATCCTNGCAGGAATCGCTACTTCTAACCCAGTTAGGAGACTTGTTCTAGTTAAGTGTTTTTCAACCTTGGTTTGGTGGCTTCAAGTCCCAGAATTCCCCAGGCAGTGTGCTTTAAGAGGAGTGGGATTCAACTCCCAGAATTCCCCAGCCAGCATGCTTTAAGAGGAGAGGACTTCCACTCCCAGAATTTCCCAGCCAGCATGCTTTAAGAGGGGTGGGCTTCAACTCCCAGAATTCCCCAGCCAGCATGCTTTAAGATGGGTGGGCTTCAACACCCAGAATTCCTCAGTCAGCATGCTTTAAGAGGGGTGGACTTCAACTCCCAGACTTCCCCAGGCAGCAGGGTTTAAGAGGGGTGGGCTTCCACTCCCAGACTTCCCCAGGCAGCAGGGTTTAAGAGGGGTGGGCTTCCACTCCCAGAATTCCCCAGCCAGCAATGCTTTAAGAGGGGTGGGCTTCCACTCCCAGAATTCCCCAGCCAGCAGGCTTTAAGAGGGGAGGACTTCAACTCCCAGAATTCCCCAGCCAGCAGGCTTTAAGAAGGGTGGGCTTCCACTCCCAGAATTCCCCAGCCAGCATGCTTTAAGATGGGTGGGCTTCAACACCCAGAATTCCTCAGCCAGCATGCTTTAAGAGGGGTGGACTTCAACTCCCAGACTTCCCCAGGCAGCAGGGTTTAAGAGGGGTGGGCTTCCACTCCCAGAATTCCTCAGCCAGCAGGCTTTAAGAGGGGTGGGCTTCCACTCCCAGACTTCCCCAGGCAGCAGGCTTTAAGAGGGGTGGGCTTCCACTCCCAGAATTCCCCAGCCAGCAAGCTTTAAGATGGGTGGGTTTCAACGCCCAGAATTCCCCAGGCAGCAGGATTTAAGATGGGTGGACTTCAACTCCCAGAATTCCCAAGCCAATATGCTTTAAGATGGTGGACTTTAACGCCCAGAATTCCCCAGGTAGCATGCTGGCTAGGGAATTCTTGCTGTTAAAGTCTCTCCACTTCTCAAGGTGGAATCCAATCTGTTTGGAAATCTCACATTCCTACTCTTAGAAAGTTTGAAAGATCTCAGACCTGTCGGCTGTTGGACAGGAGGCCACCAAGAGATTCCCCCCAAACCTCACCTTCCTTATTGTGACCCTGAACCTTAACGGAAAGAGGCAATGCCAGATAATCTTGAAAAACAAAAGTGTCATGGAAATCATCATCTTCTTTTTAACGAAAAAAATGGAGCCGAGTCTTTTACTGGCCCGATGCCTTTCCGTGTCGCCAGAGCGGAGTTTTGCTCAGCAGAAATATTCTCATCGTGCCCAGAGACAGAAATACCTGCCTCTCCCCAAGGATTGGACTCACAGCCTCTGGGGTTGTGGGGCGAGAACTCCACCTTTAGGCCACCACGCCACTCGAAAGCGTCACGGAAATGGATCCGGAAAATTAAAATGGAACCCAATGTACTTTTCCTAATGGTTTATCCGCCTTGTTCCTGGTCTGAGACTCTTATGGTTTGAGAACGATTCTATCTGATTTCTTGCTCTAGAATTCCGGATTGTCCACTTCCCTCCAACTCATATTCCCATCCTTAGGGACTAGCCGCTTGTTTTCTTAAAAATAATTGTCTGGGTTTTGTTTTTAAAAAAAAGTTTTCGAAGTTTTAAGTCTTCCACTCACCACTTTGGCCCATCGAGGGAGATGGATTCGGTTGTCGTCTAAGATAATTAACCGGATATCTTTGTGGGAACTGCGTGCCAGGGCGGGGCCGAGATCCAGGGCAATGAAGTCGCGTTGTGATTCCGGGGTGAAGCCCAGAGTCTGGAAAGGATAATTTTTCACATATCCAGAAGAAGGCTCGTTTTGAGCAGTGATAGCCCAGAAGGTTAAATTCTGCTTGGCGTATTCGTCGAGGAACCTTGGCCGAGGGAAACAGAGACACCGTTGTTCACCTTTAAATTGGCAAAACTGAACTGATATCAACTCCCATGATATAACCATCCAATATGTATATATTTTAATTTTTAAAAGTATATATTTCTTAATTTCAAAAGCTATTTCTTAATTNTCTTCTCTTCTTCTACAATTCCCCCTTCCTTTCTTCCCCCCTTCCTTCCCTTCCACCCTCCCTCACTCCTTCAACTCATCATCCATCCGTCCTTCTTCTCTTTTCCTGCCTTCCTTCTTCCCTTCCACCCTCCCTCACTACTTCACTCCCTCCATCCTTCCCTTTCCCTTCCTGCCTTCCTTCTCTTCTACTCTCCCTCACTTCCTCCATCATCTATCCATTCATCCTTCTTCCCTTTCTTCCTTCCTTCACTCCCTCCATCCTTCTTCCCTTTCCCTTCCTTCCTTCTTTCCTTCCCTTCTACTCTCCTTCACTTCCTCCATCATCTATCCATCCATCCTTTGCCCCTTCCCTTTCTTTCCTTCCTTCCTTTCCACCCTCCCTAACTCCTTCACTCCCTCCATCATCCATCCTTCTTCGCTTTCCCTTCCTTCCTTCCTATCTCTCCTTTCTTCCTCTTCCCCTACAATTCCTTCCATCCTTCCTTTCCCTCCTTCCCTCTGCTCTTCTTCCTCCTTCTTCTCCCTTCCTGTTTTCCTTCTTCCATCTCTCCTTCCCTGCCTCTATTTCCTTCCTCTACCATCCTCCTTCCTTCCTTCCTCTTCCCTTTTTCTTTTCTCTTTTCTCTCTTCCTTCCATTGTTCCTTTTGACCCTTCCTTTCTCTTCCTCCCACTGCCTCTCTTGTTTTTTCTCCTCCCTCCCTCCCCTCTTCCTTTTCTCTTCCTTCCTTCCATTATTCCTTGACCCTTCGCTTCTCTTCTTCCCACTCTCTCGTTCTGTTTTCTCCTCCCTCCTTCCCCTCTTCTTTTTCTCTCCTTTCTCTCTTCCTTCCTTCCATTGTTCCTTCAGATTGTTCCCTTCCTCCCACTGCCTCTCTCGTTCTTTTTTCCCTCCCTCCCCCTGCCTTTCTTCCCTCCCTCCCCTTCCCCACTCCTTCTCTTTTTCCTCTTCTTTCCTCATCAATCTACCTTTCTTCTCTTCCACCCACCCCACCCGATACCTCCAAGATGCTATGGCTGTAGTCCTCCCCTCGATCCCAGGATCCCAGGATCACATCCTGCTCCCAAAAGTAAGAGCCAGCGCAGGCTTCTGTGGCAATCAGGAAATAGTCAGGGAAGATACGCTGGGTGGCTTCCAACGTGCCCTTGACGGGGCTGATGAAATCCATATACCAGTGGAGGCCGATGCCATGAATGTAGCGATAGGCTTGGCTCTCCCCGCTCAAAACCTTGACAAGGGAGGAGGGAAAGGATCAGAATCGGGAGGAAATGCAGAGGTCATCCAGCCCAACCCCTGCAGGAATCGCTACTTCTAACCCAGTTAGGAGACT